ACATTTATTCATACAAACCTGTGATCCAATGATGGTTATGTCTGCCTTGTTCAGTGCAATTCAGAAACTCTCAATTGAATGACTCACTCATGTACAAGAATTTATTTGTTATATTTGAACAATATAATGCGAAGAAGACATACAAAGGTTCAAGTCCGTATCAAGTAGAAACCAACGAAATTTATTGGGATGGGAATTAGAAAGAAAATTTGTGTTTTTGAACTTAAATAATTAGATTAAAATAAAATTCAAGAATTAAAAGTATACATAGTCGAAGTTTGATTTTATATTAATGTATCTAATCTATTAGACTCATGGGCTCACTAGACTCATGGGCTCATTAGACTCATACGCTGCATGGGCTGTGAAAAATTATAAATACAAACTGGATAACAGATATAACAAACAGATAACAGTTTAAGGGGAGCATTCCGGTCAAAAATCGAATATATGACTTATCCAGTTTTTAGGCTCAGTTTAAAGGTCCAAGAACTGCGCATTTAAAGAGCTCAAAGTCGCGCTTGTGCGTTCACTTGTTCGTTCGACAGCCATCGAAGCGCAAGTAAAACCTATACCTTCAATGAACACAAATTTCAGTTTTTTTGGCTCTACTGAAAAGTTGAAATTTTCATCTTAAAAATATATCTTCTACTATGATCTTTAAGCTAGCATTGAGAGATATAATATTAGATTTGTAAAAAAATTTCTATCGATTCCCAAGTAACTTTTTTCGATTTCGTTTTAGTTCGGATTATACAGTATATTGAAAAAATGGGTGGGGGGCGAAAACTAATAAATGGAAAAATCCCCCCTACCCAAATACATTGGAATTTTGAAAAAGTGGTCGCGTGACCGCTAGATATGGTTTTTACAAATATGTAAAGACCATACATATAATATACATATACATAATAATAAAGATATGGTCTTTACAAATCGAATGCTATGTCTCTCGATGTTGTAGCACGTTAATCGAAGGAGGAGATATATTTTTACAGTACCCACATTTTTTTGCAGTTTTCTATGAATTTCACGTTTTCTTTAATTTTTCGAGATATTTACACGAACAGAAAAGTCACAGATTTCTATTTTACATATTTGTACCAAGTTTCAAAATGATCCGTCCGGTGTCAAAAAAATTTTTTTTGACCGAAAAGCTCACTTAAATTATTTTTTAGGGGTTACGCCGAGCACTAACATTTGCAAATTAAATGTTCAAACTTGTTTAAATTAGATGAATATAACGTGAAAGGATACAATTCCCTCATAAGCGCCATATCACCAGAAGCGTCAATTAAATAGCTTGAATTAAAGACCTTCACGTACAAAATATAGTTCATAGACTTTTAAGTATATATAAATCTATTTCTATAAATGCAATTTATCGAAGTCGACAGCATACAATTCCGTTTGCAGATGAAAATATTTTGATCTATAAAAAACTTTTTTTTCGGAGCGAATATGTGTTTAATAATTTATAGTGATTGTTATCTTGTCTCGTGTATGTATGAAGGTGCCAAGAAAAAAGCCTATGATGGAATAAAAAAATAAGGAATTCTGACTTAATAATGTAAGTTTTCTAGATTTCATAAAAAATGCGTCCCAGATAGAAATGGCTTATTCATTGATGATTAATGTTACTCTAGGAGTATTTATGAATACAGAATATTTTATAATTCTTTATCAATATCATCATGCAGCTGCTGCGTAACTACCCAGAGAGACTAATTTTACATTAAAAGAATTTTGTACATTTTTTCTCATCTATCATTTCTGTGAATCTATGCATTTCATCAGCCACAATTAAAAGTTTAATCTGATCCATTTCAGTATGTATTAGCGTTAAAACGATAGTCAAGGTTCCGTGAACATAGGAATTTTTCCTGACTTGATTAGAAGTGGTCACTTGTTAATCAGTTTCACGCGTCACTTTTCCATTATCTATGAAGTCTGCAGGAATTGATATCCAGATAAGGGATGCACGCCGTGTTCTGTGAAAGTAACATGGAGAGCACGTGGTGGCAGCGTTGACTCTTTTATCTTATCTGTACAACGTCTCCATCACTAATTAATATTCATTTATAAGAAGATGTTCTTAATTAATCAGCCACAGATGAAGGTTGGCTACAGCCCGCCGCGCAGAGATGGCAGGGCTTTAGTCGAGGGCGGAGGCCGAAGTCCAGGGTGGTGAACAAGAGATCGCTTGTTTAACATTGATTATGTTGAAAAATATTAGTTTTAATTTTCATAATCACCTTAACTAAGATTTTATTTTCTTATTTTGTAACTAATTCAAAGGTGTAGTTCTAGATTTTTTACTAATTTTTTCTTCTTCCACTTACTTGCAGATTAAATTTTTTCAAACTAGTGATCAAAAAATACTTATCTTAAATATTTCACTGCATACTATTCAAAATGTCTCTTGCGATTCAAAACGAAATTTTAACATTTGAGGACACAAATTTTTCGGAAAATGGAAACCTCACAATGCAATTCAGCCCAATTTGCATTAATCCCACAATTAGCTAAAGTCAGCTTAATTATTAGGATTATAAAATCTAGAATTAGCCGAAGTCAGCTTAGTTACTAGTTTATTAAATATAAAACAACATAAGTAAATAATCGACCTTACTTGCATATTTTGTGCGAACCGTATTCGTGTGAACTCGGTTATAATAAACTTGTGACTGAACAAAAAGCTTTGGGCGAGGTTGCCAACAGTTCGTTTGCTGCTATTTCATCCAACCGAAAGCTACTCTATATCTGTTGAAAGTCTATCCCTGCTAGTCTTCGTAGCAAAGATGGGTTCCTATGATCTGAAGGTAAGAGTTCCATTTTATATGTTATTTTTTGGCTGGCTTGATATTAGTCACAGCAAGCCTGTTGTTATCACATTATATAACCTATTTATTTTAGGTACATCAAACCTCTATTCATTGATGTCATACTCGTGTGTCCGATGTTCGTTGGTACTCATGATCAAATGATCTATACTTATCATTATATGAGCAGAACATTATTGCGCAGGTTGATAATTTCATACATTATTATTAAATAGCGGAATACGGGTATCATATCATTCATATGTCCCTTTGATTAAAATTAAGGAACGATAACGTCGACTGTAAATTATGCTCTGGTGAGCCTGGCTTCCATGATAAAGTCTAACGTATAGTAGAGTATAGTAAATGATAATCTATGAGACTATGACAAAGTCTAACGTATGTCAAAGTTAGCTAAATGATAAATTAGTAAAGTCTGATAAAGTTACATTGACTTGCTGAACTGAAAAGCTAAATTTGTTTAATTATTCTGTATCTAATTGCTGTGAGTTTAAATTTTTTCAACTCATTGAAATTCATTCAACTCATTGTTGAAAGAATTTGAAATTCAGTTGAAATTCTTTTAATGAATTAATAGAATGTCCAGTTTCAAGTTTTTCTTTTCATTTGCTAGATTGCGGGATTTTGAGCCGCAGTACAGAGAAGCGATCGTTAATTTATCTGAATATATTTATTTCTTCTATGCATATATGACACTTTTATTGTAGTTAATAATAATGATTTCAAATGATACGAATAAATAATGAACTGACGTAACAAGATACCTTTAGAACTTTTCTAAAAATGAGATAATTTTTTAATTTTTTCGAAATATCCTCGATTTGTCTTTTTTCTCACGTTTACAATAATTTTAAATAATTTGTTCAGTTTTTATTGTTTGCTCCGTGATTGCTGTTGAAATATTTGTAATTTCTATTCATTTATTATCAGTATCCGTGACAGTATTGTTACTATTTCTTCTGATATTAGGATATTAGTCTAAATAGTCTGGGTTGATTTATTACTGCATTCTAAGATTACCGCCATCCCGAGTTAAATTAATATTTTAAAACTTAAGTACGTTAATAGAAGAAAGACTAGTTTAAACCTGGAAAACTTCAGTAAAAGAAAGTTCAGTAATAATGAACACCTTTAATGTAATTCTGTAATTTAAAACCTTTATAATGTAGTTCCAGTTTTTCGGGGTTTCATATTACACCACGACAAATAAAATTTCGTTCCCAAGTCAAAATGCCGACGCAATAAATATCGAGGATACACATTACATAAGTGAAGAAATAAATGAAAAAATTTTCACAAATGAGGATATTTAAATAATATGTTATGTTTTTTATAACCAGTATGCTTTTATAACTAATTGTCTTCAAAACCCTGAAATAATTTGCTTTGGCATGTTAATTTAATCAACCTTCATCGGCTGTTTCAATTGAGATGATTTTATACGATAAAAATGGCGCTGGAGCTCACCTCAATGCCGAAAAAATGTCTCGATTTATATCAAACGTAATTTTTTCAAACTAAACTGGAATCGTGTCATTAACGGAAATAAATATAATTTGCCCAAATACCAAAAAAATTTTACATTTGATACGTTTTGGGGGTTATATCTTTACAACGAATTGCCAGAAATTTTAATGCTAAACTGATATTTACGTGTATTACAGGTTTAAATTCTTTCAGGAACCAATCACTGAAATTTTCATTTCCAGTGTCGCTTAATTCAATTAGACTGATTGCAGTTCTTTTGATATTTATCCCGGTTTTGGATTGATACAGCCTAACAAGACCTAAATTGCTAATCCTCGTTCTGAAATTTTTTCTACAAAATTTAAATATTATAATGGAAACAATATACCTGTATAATATAATAAAAAGTCTTATATTAATATAGCCTAATAAATTCCAGTGAAGTATGTGAAGCATGAAATAAAGGAGTGGAGATAATTTGTAGCTTAATTCATTTCGTTTCGAGGCTACAATTAAGATTACCGTTGAGTTGCACATTTTATTGAATCAATAAATATAGACTAAACAAATTAACGAAGCAAGGAAAAACAACTTATCTACCTTTAATACAAATAACAAAGCTCCCTGCCAATACTCCACACAACACACATAAGATGAAGTAAATTCCCTGGTCTTTTCACCTCCTCAGAAATGACGCGTAACGAGAAGATCGGGCGAGTGTGCTTAAATACCGTCAAAATATGCGCGGTCTTCCTGCTGCTATATTTCTTCATTTGTTCTCTCGACCTGTTATCATCCGCCTTCAAGCTCATTGCCGGCCAGTCAACAAGTACGTTATCATTCCTGTTATCACTCATTATTGCTGGTTTAACCATCAGTAAGATCTAATACTTGTTATTTCCACTATCTCCAGGCGAAGAATTTGTAATTTTCAACCGTTGTTTTTGCCTGCGTAAATATGTACAGGTGGGCAACAATTAAGACCTCATCTTTGCTATAAATTTCATTCCACTATATTTCAATACTCGCATAAATCCTATTTCACGCTCTCAATGAAGCGAAAGTAAGAGAACACTAATAAAAATAAGTTTTTGCCGTCCTTAGTTAATGATATAATTTTCGTTCAGGCGACCTGGTGGGCAACCCGCTTATAAGTAACCCCATCGTGGGGCTGATGGTGGGCATCCTGCTGACGGTGCTGGTGCAGTCCTCGTCTACCTCCACTTCCATCGTCGTGTCCATGGTGGCTGCTGGAAGTGAGTTCACTTTAGTTAGCCTGATATACGCTCTTAACCCTCTACCGCCTGACAGGAGTAACCGGAGCAATATTGTCACAAGCCAGCTTCCCAAAAAAGATACGTTCTTGAGAGCGCAAAATGACTCGCACTGATGGTTGCCGCCACGTACGACAACTTTAAAATGTGCTCTGTTGCGTACAAAGGTCCTCAGGTTGTTACACTCAATAGTTTACGCATAATTTGTGCTGAAAGTTATGTTCCCGGAGATTGACATACAACAACATTTACATATGGATTATTATTACACCTAAACTAAACCTTTACTTTCCATACACAATGCCAGGGTGAACTGACGTTTGAATACTGAGCTCCCTGTTTAAATTGAGAATATATAGCATCATCACGACGTAACTTATTTCATTTGTCAACTTCGTTCGTAAATTTATTGTCAAATTACTTATTGAAATCAGGAAGTAGTTAAATACTGTATATTGCTTCCGCGTTAGTTCTTTGGGTGTCATGACACATGGAAAACAGGAGAAGAAATGGGCTAGAAAGTTGAAAGTAGAGTTTTAATTGAGAAAGTGTAAATTTTAGTCAAAAATAAAAAAAAACATACAGTTTATCTCGTAGATCATATACATGTGTGAAATATGAGCTCAGTAAAGAATGAGGATTCAAATGGGTTTTCCATCAATACAATTAAAATTAAAATATCATTTTAATTTTAAAATTATTATTATTTTAATTATTTTAAAATTATCATTATTTTATTGCGTTTATCTCTTATTAAGTGCAGTTTCATCGCACATCGAAGCCCTTATTTGTTATTATTTATGTCTTGAATTCGCACTCTGTTGTGTTAACAGAACCATTGTTGCTTTCCATTCACATTATCAGTTATTATTCGCAGTTCTGTCGGTCCATTACGCTATACCCATCATCATGGGTGCCAACATAGGCACTTCTGTTACCAACACCCTCGTCTCCCTTACACAAGTGAGTCAATTGTTATCGTATTCAACCATTGAATTTTATTGAATATCCTCATGTCAATATTCTTTATGGAGACATTGGCACATACCTTAGCGTCACTAAAAATACAGTGAATATTAAACAGAATTGAATAAATCTAACATCTGAATTTAAGATGGTTGCTTTGTCGCTATCCGAATTTTGCATTTTCAGTGCATAGAGATATGACTCGCGTCGAGATAAATCAGTGCTCAAGTATAGGTTATTATTAATGCTTATATTTAATCAGCATTAGTCACACAAGTTTACACGTGCATGTTTCTTGTAGGTCGGCGAAAGGGAACAGTTTCGGAAAGCCTTCGCTGGAGCCACGGTACACGACATGTTCAATTGGCTCTCTGTGCTTGTCCTGTTGCCTCTAGAGATAATGTTTGGTGAGTTAAACATGTTAAATTGTTGCTTCATGAAGCCTTGTTAGGTGAGTGTAATTGATACTTCATTAGAATATTTTTAGTGAGAGTGCAGAATGTTACTTCATGAGGTATTGTTTAGTGGGAGTGCAGAATGTTACTTCATGAGATATTGTTTAGTGGGAGTGCAGAATGTTACTTCACGAGGGAATGTTTAGTGGGAGTGCAGTACGTGACTTGATGATGTAATGCTCTGTGAGAGTGCAGTAATTACTTCATTGATCATGAAAGAAATCAGTATTTTTATAACAACGCGAACTAATCGACTGTACGACTTTCTTGAGTCAGAATCCTAGAAGATCAAAAAAATTCAGGAAGCTTTCTTTAGATTCAATTACGTTTATCAAGAATTGTTAATTAACCTCTCTATGTCAACAATTTCATAAAAAAATAATCAAATTTGTCAAATTGACAGACGTAGTTTAAAAATATTTAAAGACATTTTCACATCGTTTGAATTTACGAACAATTATCATCCGAATATATACTAACCAAAATTTCCGACAAGTGGTGAAAATTTTTTTTTCAAATTTGTATAAATTTTTACAACTTTCTTTTAAATTTTTATTTCATGAGAAAAACCTGGTGAAAGATGACTTTTTACGTCGAATAAAATGATGACACAGTAATTTTTAAATTATATCTAAGGGATTACTGACAGATATTAATTTTGTCTGACAATTCAAGAAACTTTGAAACTTCTTCGACAGGATTGCTGGAGAAGTTGACAGGCGCGATCGTAACAGATATCATGGGCACTGACGGAGGCGATATCAAACTCTTGAAAGCGATTACAGAGCCTTTCACCGACCTCATCGTCCAGGTGCGTTATCTTACCATCCTGCTCCCTTCACCGACTTCATCGTCCAGGTGCGTTATCTTACCACCCTGCTCCCTTCACCGACTTCATCGTCCAGGTGCGTTATCTTACCATCCTGCTCCCTTCACCGACTTCATCGTCCAGGTGCCTTTTACCATCCTGCATCCTTCACCGACTTCATCGTCCAGGTGCGTTATCTTACCACCCTGCTCCCTTCACCGACTTCATCGTCCAGGTACGTGATCGGATCATAAAAAACTCTTCATCGGTTAGTTGCAAAAACAATATGAAAACGTAACATGAATTATTAGCGCATTTTCACATTTCTGGTAAAAATGCACTATTGTGCTCGCCATGTCCGTCTGTCTGTCTGTCCGTCCGTCTGTCCGTGACCTCAAGTTTCCGTCGACGAGAAAATGCGCTCTCTGTCATTCACTGCTGTGAGTACTGAGTTATATTTGAATAAATATTACGCTGGGTTCCTTCATTCACATATCAAAATTATTCGGCGTATAGATACAGTGCGCTTCATCAAAGGGCAATATAACTTTACGGACTCATATACCACGTAGTGTAGCGGAACATCGAGGAAGTTGTTATCTCAGTGGCAATCTACGTGTGTACCTACTTCATTCAGATGAACAATACTGCTGATGTAGCTGATCGCTGAAAAGCTGTTATTAAAATTTTGATGAATTTTCTTGGCATTTTTTAGCTCTGAAATTTTTAGTTTAACTCATAGTTGATTTGTATTTTTAGCCGTCTCAGTTTCTAAAATTGTCAATGAAAGAAATGTATGCACTGTTTTAATTATCTTGTTCTATTTTTTCATGATTTAATATCTTGATCGTACCATATTTTTCCTCAGATCGACAGCGGTGTTTTCAACTGCTGGAGCTTGGGTGAATGGCTGGAGAAAAAATCTATTTTGGTGCAATTTTGTGAGTACTACGATAACTACACCACCACTGCGACCACCCTTGAGCCCACCACAACTGTAAATCTGCCATCAACCACATTGGATCCCAACGCTACCGAAATTCACTGTCCCGAGGACCCTAACCACATCGGTATCCCGGGTACTTGTCATTATTTGTTCTACGAAACAAAAATGACGGACCAGCAAGTTGGAACTATCGTACTGGTGATGTCTTTGGTGATGCTGTGTGGTGCCCTAATCATCATTGTCAAGCTCCTCAACTCTATGCTTAAAGGTGAGCATTCACCACTGCTATGAAGGCTTGAGATGTGGAAACGAAGCTTCTGGTGAGCCCTTGTTTTAAATGTAAATTTGATACTTAAAAATTCAAGCCTTCATAGTGGTAGCATGACAGTTTCCATGTTAAAATATGTAATTGTATTATTTAATTTTAATTAAGTTAGCACTTTTTGTTATGGAAAACTAAGGTCACCTTCTTTTTCATCAAAAGAAAAAGGCTTCTTAATTAGAATAGAAGACCTAAGAACGCCGGGACGTTACTGCACCAAATGGTTTTCCAACGGATAGAACTTCTCTCGATATAGTGTCCCAAGGCGCCCACTCAACTGAATCGGCCAATTGTTGGCTCCTTTAGATCACCCATCGATCAAACAGAGTTATAAAATTTCCAGCATTTATAGGAAAATCAGAGATTTTTGTCTGAGGTCTTTAATTGTAAACCCGTTGCTGAAAAAAGTGTTTGTTGTGAATTCGGGTACCTTGAAAATTTTAGTCTATATGTAGACATAAAACTTCCACTAAAAGTAGGTACCTGTTGAGCTTTTTGTTATGAGCTCCTACAGCAAATCCATTGTAATACATATATCGTACACCAAACACAGCTTCACTGACGTCGTTATATTCATTTTTGAATAATAAGAAATATATTAACAAAACAGGAAGCATGGCTATCGTCATCAAGAAGACGCTGAACGCTGACATCCCTTACGTACCGTGGATCACAGGCTACATCGCCATCCTCATCGGAGCTGTCATGACCTTCATCATCCAGTCATCATCCATATTCACGTCCACACTCACTCCACTCATCGGTGAGTGGACCAAGTTCTGCTGAAGTATTATTGAGAATATATTTTTCGTTAGTACTGGTCTAGTACCTATTTGCGTGTGGGTAACAGACGTAACGATCTCATTTCTTGCGTGAGTTTTTCAGCCATGGATGGGCACTGGAAGTGATGTTCTTTCCTGATGGATTGTCGGATGTCAACCACTTGAAAAATACTTTTTGAAAACTAAGCTCGAACCCAACATCCAACTCACACACATAAATGAACACAAGCAAAGTTTTAAAATCTAAAAAGTTTATAAACTTGATACATTTATTATGTTTCTCTTTATTTGACTAGATATAATTTAGGTAACTTGACTCGTGGACTTTCAGCAAATTTCATCGTTATCACTGAGTAATGAGGGCTGAATATTTCCTTCGTGAACGACGCATTTTGTACGCAAACGCACAGCTTTAATGGAAAGCGCACGACTCGCTACATTTTCATACATTTCGTACAACCGTTTTCGTACATTTACTGTATATTTTTTTACATTCAATGTACCTTTTTATTGATTTATCGTTCATTCTATTAACAGTTTCATTCAAGAGGATATTTTTTCTCGGCTCATACTAAATTTACATTCAAATATTAGCATTTCGATCTAATTTCAAATACTTTCATAAACTTGAAGTAATTTTTTGATCAAGTTTATTGGATTGTCTTCAATTTAAGTTACCTACAAGTTTTAGATAAATTTGTGCTACATTTTTCATTAACTTTTTTTAGATTATTCAATACTTCTTTCGGTTTTACGCCGTTTACATTCGTAATCTTTCTAAGGTAAAATATTTTCACAAGTCCTTATATTTTTAACTTATAATTACATATTTATTTAATTTGTCTGGTGCAATGAGTGCGCACCGAGCAGTGAGTGTGTACCGAGCATTGACTGGGTATTGTACACCGGCTTGTACTGAATACATCCGTTGTACTGAACAACGACTGAATGCCTGAAACGTACTGATTATTATATTAATTATTATACTGATTAATATAATTATTATACTGATCAGTATAATGATTATAATACTAAATAATACTGATGGCAGGTATCGGCATCATCACCGTGGAGCGCGCATACCCTCTGTGTCTGGGCTCCAACCTGGGCACCACCACCACCGCCTGAGGTGGATACCATAGCAATACCATCATGATTGAGGTGGATACCATAGCAATACCATCATGATTGAGGTGGATACCATGGCAATACCATCATGATTGAGGTGGATACCATAGTAATACCATAATGATTGAGGTGGATACCATAGCAATACCATCATGATTGAGGTGGATACCATGGCAATACCATTATGATTGAGGTGGATACCATAGCAATACCATCATGATGGAGGTGGATACCATAGCCATACCATCATGATTGAGGTGACCATAGCTATATCATCGTGATGTGGGCTATCACCATAGCCATAACATCATCGCGATGAGTGTAACATGGCTATAGTATCTGACTAATTACCATCAATAAAAACAGAACTACAGTAAAAGCGTATAACTGAAGTTTCACCTGATTTAAAACTATCTTCTGATTTTATTATTCAACTCCTGACTTTAAGCTCAGCCTAACATCATATGAATTCAAACCCAATAACCTAAAATATATTCATGTTTTCCAGATTGCATTAGTTCATTGCTTCTTCAACGTCTTCGGCATCCTGATCTACTACCCGATTCCGTTCATGCGGTTCCCGATCCCGATGTGCAAAATTCTCGGCAACATTACTGCGGATTACCGCTGGTTCGCCATCGTCTACATTGTCTTCATGTTCTTCCTAATGCCCCTGACGGTCTTCGCGCTCTCCCTGGGTAAGAAATTTTGCAAAAAATTTCCAATGATAAGGGTAAAGGAATTATATGCATGTTGGAAATTCAAAATATTTGTCTGGTTGTTCATTCGATAGTAAAAATATTAAAACGTAACCGAGACTATTATCAATGATCATATAACAAGGACCGTGGAAATAGCTCAACAATAGTTAGTTCCAGTTCCATTTAGAAAAATCCAAATTCTTTTAGTGTTGAAAACCTAAATACTAACTGCGGCTTCACATGGAACAACTTACGAACCATATGAAGGTTGCAACAGAACCGTGGTTTGTACGTCAGTTTAAATCATCAACTGAAAAGCAGGCAAACAAACAATTTTCCTCGATTATATATCAATAAGATCAGCAAAATTGAATTCACTGTTCAAAACCAACTAATGTCACCAGGTGGGTCGGTTGTGCTATGGAGCGTCCTGGGTCCCATTCTCATCTTGCTGGTGATTGTCGCGATCATCAACCTCATACAGAACAAGAAACCAAGCATCCTCCCCAAGTTCCTACGAACCTGGGACTTCATGCCTCTTCCTCTGAGGTCCCTAGAACCCTACGACAAAGTCGTCACGGGCTTCCCGTGCTGCAAGACATGTCGAATTGATTACCAGGGGGAGGATGAAAAGGAGTCAAGACATTCTAGCGTGTCGGAAGATGTAAGTCGGGTAGAAGAAGGCCGAAGAAAAAGTTCTTCGAGCTCGGAAGAATCACAAGCTGTCTGATGTGATTTTTGTTTATAATTAAAGTTGAACGATTAACAGTATCATGACGGTGGTTAGATAAGGTAAAACTAATAGCTCTTGATTCTATAAGAGTTATATTATGTTAACGAATTCAGCGAATATTCAACGTTGTATTAAGTTTCTGGCAACATTTTTCCGGTGAAAATGTTTATGAAAGTCAGATATTAGTATAGTATCGAGATGTACATAAATATGTAAAGTGATATTACTTTTATTCAAAAACGCCGATTCAACGGTTAAGCTTTTATACATATTTTTATAATCTTCAATGCTATTCGTACCTATGTTAATGGTAATGAGGGTTTCCATAAGCAAATAAAGGGTTAATAAGATGAATAATTATGAATGTGTGATTAGCTCTCTGATCAAGTGATTTTGAATTACTGTAATTATGCTATTAAACGTAATTATCAATTTCGTTACAAATAACAATAAAAAACTCTTTTTGATCGGCTTTAACGATAAATTAGGAAGATGAATAAGCCAAAGTTACTTATATCAATATTTTAGTAAATCACTGATCATGACGTGCTGAACCAAATTTACTTCCCAAAATTTGAGATCAGATTACAAGAAAAATATATTATTTAGATATTTATGAATTGAAATTTCACAGATTGTCTATAAAATTATCTGAATTTGCTCATTCAGAATTATTCACGTACAAATTCATAGGAAATTCTAACATGGAGAGAAGCCTCAATTTTAAGAGATTTTACCGAAATTTTATTCGAGAAATGATTTTTAATTTGGACGTGCATCGATGATTCTTGTTTAGTAGCGTGAATCACGTAATTTTAATTTTAATGTACAGCTATATGTTATCAATAGATATATCGTGATTTCATAAATTTTGTCATATACATATTTGGTTTCCTTCTCAGCCATAATTAATATGATCAATACTGCAATTAATAAATGACAGCAGCAAAGTGCAAAGTTTCGATGATGCGAAGTGTGTCTAGGTGATGATACGGAGTGCAAAGTTTTGATGATACGAAGTGTGTCTAGGTGATGATACGGAGTGCAAAGTTTCGATGATACCTTAAGTGTGTCCAGGTGATGATAAGGAGTGCAAAGTTTCGATGATACCAAGTGTGTCTAGGTGATGATACGGAGTGCAAAGTTTCGATGATACGAAGTGTGTCTTGGTGATGATAAGGAGTGCAAAGTTTTTGGTCTCCCATAAGGAGTGCAAAGTTGCGATGATACCAAGTGTGTCCAGATGATGATAAGGAGTGCAAAGTTTCGATGATACCAAGTGTGTCCAGGTGATGATAAGGAGTGCAAAGTTTCGATGATACGAAGTGTGTCCAGGTGATGATAAGGAGTGCAAAGTTTCGATGATACCAAGTGTGTCTAGGTGATGATAAGGAGTGTAAAGTTTCGATGATACGAAGTGTATCCATGTGATGATACGGAGTGTAAAGTTTCGATGATACCAAGTGTGTCCAGGTGATGATAAGGAGTGTAAAGTTCCAATGAAACGAAGTGTGATGCCTGAGTGTGGTGGTCTCTGTTCTCACATATATTTCCAGCTATAAGAGGTGAGCGATCTATCTCTTTTATCCCAATCTCGTTAAATATTCTCAAAGTAAAGAAATTTTAAATATCGAAGAATAAAAGAGAAATTTATGACATCTAAACCCATTTTTCTCCAGTTTTTGTGAATATACTACGTGCATTATTTGACCTACGTAGATAAATTTATCCTAATTTACAAAGTATTAATTGAAACTCTGAGAAGAGAAGATATTTCAATAATAATGACATCGACGCAGTATTTTCTGGCTTTGCGACCACGCCACAACGATAGTTCATTTCCCTGACCAGAGCGTTGTTAACGCTCTGGTCAGGGAAATGAACTATCACTTTTTAAGGAAAAATTACCAAATAAAATATTGCACACGCTATCTTCAAAAATTCGCATCATGCCCGGTCAACGACGGTAGAGCCTTAATCGCCTACTACCCTTAACAAAAGAGATTGCAAATTTTAATCCGTCGTGGGAATAGCGTGACAACTGCCGCAACAAATCACCCAAATAAATTACTTTTTTCGACGACTAAATTAAGTATCATTAATTCATGTGGCTTTTGTGGCATGAGAAAATAGGAATTCTGTATCAGAATCCAACAAATTTACTGAACAAAATTGATCACGTTTATTTTGTTGCTAAATTTGTTGGAAGAATTTGTAACAGATAAAGTGCAGAGCAGAACTGAAAAAATTAATAGTTTTTGCCACGTTTTTGGCAATTTATAACAAGGAAAACGTGTGATTATTTTCGTTACTTTCGTTAAAATCAAAGTCCACGTGGCAGAGCACAATGCCACTGAAGGGCGATACCGTAAGGGTCTGACACTCAATGTCTTACTACCATTTATTTCTGAAACTGGTTGACAAAGTATCGCTTACTGAGTCCTTGAAATCCTACAAATAATCCTCATAAATAGTTTGTGCGAGGTTCTTCTTTGAAGGCTTGGTGCTAACTTACAATCAGTTCTTCTCATAACAAGGACACAAAGTCTACGATGTTTGGTCGGCTTTATCAAGCCTACCAGGCCTACCTGAATATTGCGAACAACCTTGTCGTTCAAGGGCAAGATGTCCAAGGTTCAAGGTACCTTAACTAAGCCCTTTTATATCGGGCACAGTTTTCAAGGCTCTACGAATCATCTCTCATTTGTATATTCGTTATGCATGACCACGTCTAAGACTTATATAGGCTTGGGTCTCATTGACTTATATAGGCTTGACTTATATAGGCTTGGGTCTCATTGATATACTCAGATGGATGTTCACATGGTTTTTGCCGAGATCAAAGATCAATCTTCCAACTGCGCACCAATGCAAAACTCTGGTATGTGAAGCATATAAATATCTATGGGCGAACTGACTGATATTAGGCATCGTGGACGAATTAATAATGAATGAAAGATTATATTTTCAACCATGACAAATACATTATTCGTCTTACAATCAAAAATTCTTGAACAAAATTTAGGATCAATATATGTGTCATTGTTAAATAATAAATTGTTTTAAACTTCACATTTTTCGAGGACAAAAATTTTGTTGATTGACCAGCTGGTATATTTTCCCTCAATGATTAATGCAGTTTTCAGTCGTGTATTCAGCACATGGAATATGATTGATATAGTTAATGGTTTGTCATTAGGTCATACTACTTCAGTGCTTCAGAGACGCCCAATTAATTTAGCGATAATTTGGCGATATTTTCTAATATTTTCTAATTTCTAATATTTTTTTAAAATAATAACAAACGAACTTTTATATAACTGTGGGGACCTTGTACCCGAAATTGAGATTTCCAAAAACATTTCCCGTTACATTTTTCAATATAATTTTAGTCGTCTTTCTTGCTAGTCAGACGAATCTGACTTTATTATTTTGTTTGTTTCGAAATATCAGATTATTTCTGGGCGCAAACGATTTAAAAAAACACCTCATTTGAAAAATAATTATTATTGTTAAACCTACCAACAAAACACTCTTTTAAATAAATTTTAAATGCAACGCAGACAAATACAATGTACGATCGTATTCAGATTCAAAAATACATCTTAGAAAACATGTGAGCAGAACGCCCGAACTGCTCTGAAGTAGCAACGCTGGGTGCAATCCTCGCGCCACACCTAAAGGAGATTTCAAGGCCCACGTCAGTGTTGCGCCTTGAACGACTCTCGCTTGGCCTTGAACATTAATAGTGCATTCATGATGCCCGCGTCCTTGACTAAGGTGCAGGCAGGAGTATCTTCATCAGATGAACTGAATTAAAAAAACATGAATGAAAAATCTAAAATGAGAACAAATAACTTGATTCCATGGAGCGAGAACGTCGTACTACAGAGTGCTTCTCAAGGGCGCTTCTTGTGTTCATGTCTGAGTTTAGATGAATTAAATGCTCTAAACTCTCCTTGACGAACTTTTATTTATTGCTACTAATTTCGAGACAATTAAAACAATTTCTTGATAATTAAAATAATTTCGTGACACTTAAAATAATTTCGTGACATTTAAAATTTCGTGACAATTAAACTGCATGATCATAGAACCGCAGTTGCACGAATTGTAAGAAATTCGCTTTCATCAGTTTTGGCACACATTATAATTTGGTCTCGCCATATTTGAAGAAAAAGGGAACGCGTCACTCTTACAATAAGATTGTACGTATTTCTCTAGAATCTCACCGTACTGTCGGGCTAACTTTGTACAATGATGCATTAGTTTAAGATGAGAGTGAGTTGATGTCACTGTATTAAAAATATTCAGTGGTTCAGCTGGCGAGTGGCCGTTTGTATCGCGACGTTGAAATTAACCAATTTGAAAGTGTAAGTGACCGTATTTTATTACATTGTATAGTTTATGTAAATTTTATGCAAATATTTGTTTTTAATTTATAGTTTCAGCCATTTCGTATATTATACCAAGTGATACTTTTTTTAACAACCACATATTTTTGTAGATACATTAAATTGATTACCCAGATAGATTACCTGACTGAAAAATTACTTGTAAATCTCCAGTTGGATAAATTGTTTGATTTGAAACCCAGTCTTTCAAATGTAATCGAATTTCAGTTTCTTTTAACCTTGACAGCCCAATTAAATCGTTCCCGTTTGACTTCTTAGCCTTGTTGCGCCTCGCTTGACTTCAAGTTAGCCCACTACCTCTTAAAATTATATACAAAAATTATGCCTTCACAGCCGTGTGCTCTCAACATTGACAAGGAAAGTACACAAGCTTCAGCAGATATTAATTTTGTTACAATTTGCCGCAACGCATATTTTTCCTGCTTAAGATAAGAGTCCTAAATGACATTGAGGTCATTTATCTTGAGATAAGTGAACAGACAGGCTATATTTCAATTAAGTATGAAGATAAATTAATAGCAATTAGTTTCATTTGTTCGCTTTACGCAAATGAAACATTAGGACTTTACTCTTATCATCACTTGAAACATCAGCGAGCACTTATATAACGTGCCTGCTCCAGTATGCAGAAACTAACAGTTTTCTGTCCAAAATATAATCAAATATAAGAGGAGATTCTTCCTCAAGTAAAATTATCCAGAAATAAAAAATAACTTAAAAGTATCTACATATGACTTGATCGTCTAAATTCTAAAACATCCCTTAAGAACCGTACAAAATTATAGATGTAACTCAAAAATATCCAAACATTGATCAAATGCTGTGCACCTGCTGCCCTACTTCAGATATATATATGAGTAAAAGTGAGTAGCATTTGAGCCTCGGCACCTGAATTATTAATCACTAAAACAATATAAACAAATGAAACAACTTGGGTGTATAGATTTTATTTGCAGGCGATATGTTCAGTATACTGACTTTAAAACAACGCGATGCTTTAATTTCATGCCCGATATAGAATAATATCATCACAAATGATGCCATTATAACCTCCGAAACTCCGAAAAGCCTACATGACTTTGTTAAAACCCATTCTATTCTTTATTTTTTTTTAATTCTTAGAAGTCTTCGAGAACTTCGATTTGTAGTCTGAGTTCAATAAAATACGGGACTTTTACCCTTGCTCTTCAATATTTACTAAAAATAAAGAGAAAACTTTCATCAAAAGCAAGATTGTTCAATTGTCTCATGGAGAAACTTCCGGGGAAACATACGAAGTCTAATTTTTCCACGAACAAATCTTCAGCGTCAAAAATTTTGCTCAGCTTTAATGTATTTTCCCGGAATAAACGTTAAAAATACATTGAAGCGCACGGTAACTGTTTGCATATAAATACTGCGCTAAGCTGTAATTCTAGCCGACAAGTCCCTCTGTGTCCCTATATATTCCCGAAGACGCAAGGGGAAGATCCCGGTTTGGCGCAAGAGTTTTTTGTTTTTACAGCAAAAGCGAGTTTTCTTCGGCTTCGGCTAACGACCGGGAAATTTTGTCATCCCCGGTGAGCAAGAAATTTTGAACGGTACAGTGGCTGTAAATGCGCTGCAATGAATAATTGTGGGATATTTTACCTTTTAGGTAGGAATAGCATTATGTATTATATGGGGTCATTGAAGGGTTCTTTCTGTATCGGTTGGGGTCATTGAAGGGTTAAATCGAGATGCAAGTAAGAAAAGAATGAAGATTAAAGACATGGATTTATAGTCT